TAGATTGTTGATATTCCTTCCTCCTATTTTCACTTCTTCTCCTTCTGTGTCCAAGCCTGATTTTCTGGTTGGAGTCTATGTTGCAGAATTCTGAATGCAATTTTGCTTGCATGTGAAATCAATGCTATGGTTGCTAGTCTTTTGTGTCTCCTTTTTTGTAGATGGCATATTTTAGTTATCACTAGAGTTGATTCTGTCTGTGTAAATTGTAACAACTCGATAGGAATATCATCTGTTCCTGGTGATTGATTCTTTCCATATCTCTTATTGCAGCTTTCACCGCACTCTCTAGGATTCATCTTCATATGATTCTTCATTCCATATGTCATTTCATTTCTCTCTCTCTTATATATAGCGCTTCTGTGTATTGCTTCCATCATCTTTTTATTTCTTCTTGATCTGGTAGCGTGTTTCTCTTCAGATCATAGAACATCCCCAACCTTTAGTTTGAACTTTCCCTTGAGTTCCTGGATCTTGAGGAGCAGGTCTTCTATTCTTCCTTTGTTGTTGTTGTCTTCTGTTTCTTTGCATTGGTTATTAAAGTAGTTTTCTTCATCCTTGCACATTAGTCTTTGGACAGCTGCATTCATGGTTCTGATTTTGTTCCTATTTCCCTTTTCTTTTCTTCTCTTCTTTCTTTTACTGCTTGAAGGATTTCTTCTGTTCTCTATTGTTTCTTCTCTTACTTTAGTACAGAAATACTAGTACCAAAAAGTATGACAACCCTATTCCAAAGCATTAGCCTCTTCTTCTTTCCTTATGAGGTCAAATCTGTTGCTCTACAATTTGGCTGGGGATACGCTTTCCTTATACTTACATATAGTTCTCTCCATCCCCTCTTCCTAATCAGTTGACAACTACAAATTTTATTTTAATTGATAGCTGCACTCTCTTCCCAAGGGATGAGTGGGAATCATACCTTCAAACCTTGATCAGCACCCCAAAGCTAGAAGATGTGGTTACTATGCTCTTTCAAGCAGTCCACTCTCAGGGTGCCCCAATGTCCTAATAACTGCAAAGGAGGACAAGGAACCGCAAAATGGAGGGCCTTCAAGAAAAATGGAAGACTTGGCAACATATAAAAGCTACAGAAACCCTAATATCAATATCAATGCATGCTGCTTAGTCCTGCTCAAAATGGAGGACATTTTGGAATTCCTCCTGGACAGAAGGTTGAAATGTAGAACATGTCTTGGAAAAGGAGGACGTGTCTGGTCATCCTGTGCACTCTTCACATGCTCAGAGACCTTCTCCCCATTATTATTATCATTACCTACCTGTTTCCTGCAATGAGACCTCAAAGATGCACTCTCATTGCAATGCTCCCTGCTCCTTCCCCCTGGTCCAAGGGAAACAAGAAGATATGGCTGCTGAGCAATTTTAAGCAGTGCACTCTTCACATGCTCAGAGACCTTCTCCCCATTATTATCATTATACCTTCCTTCTTCCTGCAATGAGACCTCAAAGAAAGACTCAATGCTTCCCACTCCTTCCCCCTGGTCCAAGAGACTCACCCAAGGTTAGAAGATGTGGTTGCTGTGCTCTTGCAAGCAATGCACTTTTCGCATGCTCAGAGAGCATCTCCCCATTATCATTACCTATCATTATCACTGTAATATTTATATGATAATATAATATAAATATTTGTATGATAATGTAAATATCATTACAAATATAATATAATGATAATATTTATCATGATAAATGAAATCAATACCTCCTTGCTTCCTGCAATAAAACCTTCCCCCTGGACAGAAGGTTAAAATGTAGGACATGTCTTGGAAAAGGAGGA